ATTTAGCCTTAGGTCTACACTGAAAAACTGAAAGAGGAATTGAAACAAGAACTCAAACAAGAGTGAACACAGGAAGAGATGCTGTGCAATTCATCTGTGACTCTGCTACACAGGACTGGAATATATGACAAGATCAGTCATCATGCCTATGATGAGTGCTACTCCATTCTCCTTTTCTTGGTTTTCTTGTATTATCATGGTTGTATTTTACACAGGCATCTCTACTCCAAACTAACACCTCTGGGTGCAACTCTTGCCTGAAGCACAAAGACTTTGCTTGTATAGAAGTAGGTGTTGAAAATAGATGTTCTAGCTATTAGGATCACTACACTACTATCAATAACCACAGCCTAAAATCTTCTATCATTGAAATGGTTTCCAGGTGGCTGTTTTATATCCAGGTGTTTAGCTATGGTTATTGCAAATGTCACAAACTGACCCTGACACTTCTAATTTCAAGACAAACATCACCAGGAAAAGGAGACATTAGATCAAGCCTTGGGGTTCTTGGGGGCCAGGCTGACAAATTTAGTCTTTATTCCATAGCCTGTAGAAGTCACTAGTTTTTTTAATCGCAGAAGTGACACAGGATAGCACTCTGAGAATGTCAACCAGGGACCAGTATAATGGATTAGAGTAGGATGACGCTGAAGTTGAGGTGACCAGCATGCAGGAGGTTACTGAAGTAATTGAGGCATTAGGACCTCAACCAGGGTAGAGGCAATGGAAGTTGAAAGGAAGTGATAAATGAAATAAGGTGAGTGAAAATGAACAACACAGGTTCTCTCATAATGATAAGGTTCTTTCGGCAAATAAGGATAACTCTTAATACCTCTAGATTGATGAGTGCTGTCACCTCCTTTACTTGGTGCCCTACAATGAAAGCAAGTCTCAGACTGAATGCTACTACATAAATTTTCACCAGCAAGGAGACACCACAATAGTTCACCAACAAGGCAAAGCACTAAAGAGCAGCGTGGATGCAGGGAGATTTCAGTGTGCTAGGCTCTTCTACCACATTCATGCAAAGGCAGAAGTAGCTGTACAATATTCTAGCCAGCTACCTATCCTAAAGAACTCTAATTTCCACACTGAAAAATCACTTCGAATCCTTTTTACTAATTAACATACCTCTAGTGCAGATTTACAGAGAGATAATAAAAGCATTTGCACATCCAACTGTGTAGTGAAGATTTCAAATTAGTGTCTTTCAAATGCTAATTACCCACCCTAGAGTGTACAGATTAAAATTAACTTTCAAACATATACACCACTCCTGGAAATATTCTAAGTATACAGACAATAAGCCCTCAAAATGATTTCACAGTCACAAGGCAGAAGATCCTGTTTGAGGCAGATGAAAAAGCACTGTTTTATTATTTATTTTCTTTATGTATTTATTTATTTTGAGACAGGGTCTCACTATATAGTTGAGACTAATCTGGAACTCACTATGTAGCCCAGGCTGATCTCAAACTTACAGCAATCCTCCTGCCTCAGCCTCCCCAGTGCTGGGAAAAAAAGCACTGTTTTAAATGAGAGGTCTTGTGTGAAGCAATGGAAAATAGTTGTCACAAAAGAAATTTGTTAGAGAATATGGGGTAGCTCAAAGGATTGCTGGAGATGGTTGAGACTTAAATCTATGGGGCCTGAGACTACAACAGTTAAACAGGACCAAGAATATAAGGACCTAATAAAAAATTCACATAGAATATAATAGGCTATAAAACTGATTAGGAGAGAGCTCTTGGGTTGCCCTGAACAAGGACAGGTTGCCTGCACCTCTGTCACTATTAGTATGGAACTCTAGATGCTTCCCAGACAACCATGGTCACCACTGTCTCATGTGTTTGCTGAGCTCCAGTAGATGCCAAGGAGGTATAGCTTTCCATACTTGCTCTTTTTCAGTCATTGGCTTCTAGCTAATACACCGGATTGGTTGATCAAGTATTTGGCATTTCATTTTCAGCCACTAGAATCCTAGAGTCCTCAAACATGTAGGAACTTTGTATAGTAGGAATCAAAAAAAAAATTGTCCATTAAAAATTGAAATAAAACTGATACCAAAATTTCCTAATAGAAACAATCAGCAGGTAGTTGGAAAGGGGAAATTGGTACATACACCTAGAGAACCAGAGTTACAGATTTGGGAGTTGGCTAGTAATTGTATTTAGAATTACGCTCAAATTGTCATCAACATATTCAGAATCTGAACCCCAGGTATGTGCCACCCTTACCAACCCCCAACATTTACTAGATGAACTAAATTCACACTGTATTAAGGGAGGCAGGCAAAATATAACACTAATATAAAAGGGAGAGAAGCAGTGATTTTTGAGAGTCTATTATATCTTATCATCATTTTATTTTACAGTTATTGAAATTCAATTCTGTATCAGGCACTGTGGTACGCTGATTCAATAGTGAGCAAAACTCACAAATGAACGAGTTGGGGAGTGGGTGGGAATTCAAGCTGAGGGTACAAAGGGGCCAGACTACACAACGTGTCTGTACTTACTTAAGGACGGGGCGTGGATTTAACCCAACAACTCACATATGCCAGGCAAACACTCCTGAGCTACACTTTCAATCTGTCTTTGAAGATTCCCAGAGGTTTATCCTAAGAGGATAAAGGTTTTAAGGGTTTTTGTTTTTGTTTTTTAGTACTGGGGATTAAACTTGAGCCCCTGTGCTTTCAAGGTGTTTTTTTACATACATTATTTCACAAATCCACAAAATTTCCCAGCAAGATAGGTGTTATTAGTATGTGGGCCTATAAAAGGTAAGGAAATACAAACAATAGAAAATGACTGAAGGAGCAATAGGCAGGCAGGCAGTTTTCTGGAAATCAACTTCCTTGTAAAATCCAATTTTAGCAAAAAAACCCTCCATCCCTTTATCTGATCAGGTCTCACCTGCTCTACTACCCTCCAAGTGATTTCTGGTCATGCTGGCCTTTCTTCAAAAAGAATCCCATAGGGTCCCCTTAGCCAGAATTCCTTTTACTCCCATGTTTTCCTCTTGGTAATTTTACATGCATTGGCCCATGACAAAGGGCTCTTTCCTTATAAATTCCCACTTGCTTACCCTCTGTTATGAGTCCGGCCCAAAATCTCTCCTCCACTGCAAAATGGTTTTGCAGCTATTCTAAGAGCTATGACTTTAAACAGACTTCTTTAACATGCCTCAGTAAATATCACTGAACTTTTTAATACTACTTTATACCAGAGGGGTAAAAAAGTCACTAAATATTCACAACAATCTTACAAACAGCTATTTTATGAATGGAGAAATCAAGATTGCAACCAGTATTCAAACTCCAAGATTGTCTTGCTCCACAGCTGTTATGAAATGGTGCCTCCAAATACTGTACTGTAGTATCTCCATACTCAGGGCATTCACAGTACAACTGAGAATCAGGGCCAAGGGGAAGGGAGTGCAGAAGGAGTAAAGACACCAGAATTAATGGTATGCTTCATTAAAAGACAGAAGATAGGGAGGCTTGAGGGCTGGGAATTTAGCTCAGTGGCGCCATGCCTACCTTGCAAGCCAAGGCTCTGTGTTCGATCCCCGGCTAAAAAAAAAAAAAGGCCTGAAGTTAAGGTTTAGCTGGTTGGGAGAGGGCCATAATTGTGCCATATATATATATATATATGTGTGTGTGTGTGTGTGTGTGTGTGTGTGTGTATATATAATGTATGTATATATACATATATATATATATATGTCATTTTGTATACAGTGATAAAAAATTTGTTCCAAACATATTTTAGTATTGTCTATTTCAGTTAAATTCTTATCTTACATGGTTATTCTGTTTAATATTTTTCTAAACATTTGTAAACTTTTCTTTGTATTTAAATAAAGCACTTAACAGACATATATTTAAAGTTTTAATATTTGAAATTATTAGTTTGGAGAAACTAAAATTATTAAGTTTATCAGTGATGACCTGCCTGCCTAGTAACTTTCTATCATAATGTGCAAGATTTCAAGAAGCTTTCTAGAACACAAATACTTTCAAGAATATGATTTTTACTAAATATTTTTAATCTGAATGACAGGTTATATTTTCAGTAAAATAAACACATGTTTAAATAGGTAAATAGATTTAATCCTCTTTTATAAGTTAGTTCTGCCAACAGTACAATCTTTTAAAAAAGTATACATTATATGGAAATTCATTTAGTGGATTGAAGTTCATTTTAGAGAAAAATAAAGGTTACATAGAGAATTTTGAATTCAATGTTATTAATAAATGCAATAGATATAAATATATATATATATGTATATATATATATATATGTATATATATTAATTAAAGAGCGGCAACGCCTCCTAGAATATCTACGAATCACGTGTGGGGGTCACGCCTAGCTGCCCCAGTTTCGATCCAGGGTGAGTAGAGGCCTAGATGCTTGATAGGTCTGATCCTTGATGGGCTTCCCACTTCCATCTCTCCATCGCTAATTCCAGGTCCTCAGGACGAAGAATACACTGTACGTGGGGCAAGTGACATTCTTGCCGCGCCAAGAGACCCAGGGTCTGCCCTAGCGTGGGTTGTGAAATTCAGGCAGAAGGTAGGCTTCTTAAGGAAGCGCGCGGCGCAGTTTGACCCCGGCGGCGCTCCGTACCGCGGAGGACGCCGCGGCAGAAACATGGCGGCCGCAGCCGGGCCAGTCACTGAGAAAGTTTCTACGGAGACTGGCTTGTACTAGTGCGTGCAGCCGCGGGCCCTCGTTCCCCTGGCTTGACACCTCCCTGTGCCAGTCGCAGGCTCAGTCCTCCTGTCACCTTCTTACTCTGTTGGCCTCAGAACA